CAGCTAGTCAGTGTCACCACGGGCCAGGACTCACTCACTGCACAGACATTAATGTGTGCCTGGCACACAGGGTGTAGTCATTGCTCCCCCAAAGTCCACAGTCTGTCAGGGAGACAGGTCGGTGAACCAAGAAATAGAGAAGGCCATGGCACATTTTGTGTGACACAGGTATTCGTGTTACGAAGACAGCAGGCCCAGAGCAAGTGGCCAAGGCAGGTTTCTTGGGCAAGTGCAGACTTGAGTGTAGGGGGAAGGAAAAGGAGGAGTCATCCAGGTGAGAAAGGGGCTCCCGGTATAGCAACAACACCTGCAAAGCATGGTAGGAAGCAGAACTTTTGTTCTGCCAGCCTAGAATCCATGGTATTGTGCCTTGGAGACAATACCCTTTTGCTTTGGGGGGTCTGTATCCTGCTTCATCTCCCAGAACCCCTGAGGTGTGTGGTGCTCAATCAGGGTGTGGCATGCAGGGCCACTGAGTGCATTCTACCTAGAGATGTTTGGTGTGACTCCAGCCTCCTAACTTTCATATTTTTCCTGGAGCTGACGATGTAACTTTTTGTCATTTGGAGGATCTTCCATCAAGAAACAGTTAGCATTGACCCTGGTCCCTCTAAAGATGTTCCATGGAGGCCACTTCCTTGGGGCTGTTGTTCACTTGAACCCTCGCAGGTCCACCGCCAAGGTGAGGGCCTAGAATTGGTTGAAGGTTCTCACCTAATCTGCTGGAACAAGACCTTGAGATAATTGCTGAGTTATTAATCTGCACCAACTGAATACAGACTGGCTTTTGCTGTTGGTGGGGGCAGAAAGAGAGGCCTTTCAACCAGCCAGAAGCTGTTGACTTAATCTCCAGCCTGGTTTATTTCTACCAAGGCCTGTTAGCTCATGAGTGTTCTGTCCCCAGCCTGGGCACCTCTGTGGTGGCAACAGCTGTCATCCATGCTGGTTCCCCAGAGTCTTCTCTCTCTCTTCATTCATGCACTCACTCAAGATAAAGAACATTTTGGACAGTATCCTGCTTTCACAGAGATTTTTGTTGGTGGACAACTGGAAATTAATCAAATCATGACTCAAATAATATAAAATTAAGCTGTGACAAGTGCTAGACAGGAGAGGAACTTGGGCCCATGAACTTCTAGGAGGCTGGGAAAGACTTCCCCTGGGAGGGAACAAACTGAAGGAGACCTCAAGAAGCTGGTACAGGGGGAGGGTGGGGATGAGGGGTTCAGGGTGCTCAGTGTGTTGGAAAAATTGCAAAAGGGCCAGCTATAGGGGAGGGACCATGGGATAAGGATAATGCGAGTGGCTCACAGGTCTTGCTAAGGATTTTTGTCTTTATCGTAAAAGCAGTGGGTAATGGCTAAAGACTTAAAATCACAGGAAGGGGACATGGTCAGAGATTTTCTTCAGAACTATCACCCTGGCTCAGGGTGGGGAGTGAATTACAAGTAGGCAAGAGTAGCACAGCCGGCTGAAGTGCTGGATGCCCAGTGATACTCACATTTCAGAAACAGTGACTACAGTTTTGGTCCGAGCATGTCTCAAGTAAGGCGTGGGACATACAGTAAAATATCCTTCATTGTTTAGGTTGAAATCCAGATTTAACTGCACAGCTTACTTTTGTGAGATCTGGCAACCATACGCAAGGGAAGATGTAGAAAGGCCAGTCACAGCTGGTGGAAGCTTCTTAGACTGGGAAACCAGAGCTGGAGGCCGAGAGAAGTGGACAAAGAAGAAATACCTGCGGCTGGTTCAAGACTGTCATCCCAGGGCGTCTAGAAGACGGAGCCTTCCCATTCCCTCCTGCGCTGAAAGTTTAACTTCTTCACTCCTGCTGTTTAAAGAGACACAGTTAGGGATGTGATCAAACTGCTACAGTCTCAGTACAGGCCACGTGCCTGCTTCTGCTTGGGTGTGAGCTGGGACAGTGTGGGGGGCCAAGAGGCCCCAATCTCTTTGTGTTCCCAAGACTAATGCGAAGGACAGATCTGGCTTAATGACATCAGAGACCATGATGTAAATTGTCCATGATAACTTAGTTTTAGCAGAGTAAAGCAGTAGAATAGTCAAGAACATGGACTTTGCCAAGGGGTTCAGATATTCAGCAGTTACTTTCTAGTCCACGATCCCTATGTGATCTTGATCGAGACAACCAATTTCTGCTGGCAGTGTTATCTTTAAAATTAGCACTAACGTACAGCAAGAGCTTGGCACACAGGAGATACTTTCTAAATGATGCTGGCTACTGTTTCATCTTATACAGTCTCACGCTATCTCCTTGATTCATGGTCCTGGCTTTGTCATTGTTCAAACCCTTTGCTGACTTTCTCTGGTCTTGTGTAGGAACTTCATGTGCTGGTTCCCTTTTGCCTGAAGGCTGCCACTGTTTTCCAAAGAAACTGCCCCAAAGAAACCAGACTATTTAGCCATTCTTAAACCTAGCTTGAACTTTCCACATTTTTATTTGCCTAGAATGTGTTTGCTGACATCTGTTCACGTCTTATTCATCCAAAATATTTACAAGATATTGTAACTAAAAGTATTATCAGACAACAGGAAGCATGTGTAGAAAGTAAAATAAATCCCCATCACTGGGAAAATGACTAAACAAATTAGGATCCACATCTCTTGGGTAATATTATGCATTTGTTAGGGTAGCTCTACGTGCGTGAACTGACCTGGAAGGCGACTAACTGTGAGATATTGCTAAGTGATAAAAGAAAACTGAAGGATAATACAGGATCCAGGGTCACAGATGTGTCTGTAAAAAGAGTCAGGATAAAATGCGTTCTTTATCTCCATAATAGAGATTTCCCCCTGGAGAGGAGAGTGGGGGTGGCTTGGAAGTAAAAGGAAGCTGTTAGCATTTTGCTGTCCAGGTCCTTGTTCAGAGCTTTAGTGTCTCTGCTTATGTTTTGTCTTGTTGATCTGTCCATTGTGGAGAGTGGCGTGTTGAAGTCTCCTACTATGTATGTATTTTCTCTGATATGTTTTCATAGATGACAGTAGTTTCCTGATATATTTTAGTGCTCCTTCATTTGGTGCATATATGTTGAAAGCTGTTAGCATTTTGTTAGCTTGCTTTTATGGTTTTGGTTTGTTATGCTCAAGCTGTGTTAATTTTGTAATTGAAATTCAATCAAAATGCATAGAAAAATGATGAGCAGAAAATAAACTACAGTCATGTTTCAGTTGTTAGATTGGGAATTTCTCTCTCTCCTCCAACTTGTCATTATTTTATTAAAGAACAAAATGACAAAAGAAAGGAACATTCGGATAAAGTCTAGTGGAAATGCTACTTCCTCTCTCAAATAGTTTTCTGATTTTTCCACGGAATGGTCTAATTTCTTTCTTTGCACCCTCAAAGCCTTTTGTGACACTGATTTCCATCTACCTTGTAAATATTTTGTACATTTTTTCCTGCCTCTCTTGATGTAAGCAACTTGAGAAGAAAACTGCCTTCCACGCCAGGAGATCTGGATGTCGGCTCTGGTTCTGGTTGTCTATGGCAACATGACAAGTCAGCCCAAATGTTGCAGCTTGAGGCAGCAATCATTCGCTCACTTAGGATGTTATTGTCAGAAATGTGAGCAAAGCTGGCCTGCTGATTCTTCTGTCCACATCGTGTTAACTGGGGTCACGTGGTGATAGTGAACTTGTGCTTGGGACAGACAGCCGGGCCCGAGAAGGCTCCCTTCACCTGCCTGCTGGCTGGCAGAACAGCGGGGAAACTGCACTCAGCCTGCCCTTTCCTTCCTAGGTCATGTCAGCCTTTCTCCCTGCACATGATAGGTGAGTGATCAGGGTCTCAGGAGGTCAAGGCTGATCAAGGCAAAAGCTGCCATCTTCTGAGAAGGTGGACCTGATAGGCATAGAGTAACTTCTGCTTTACTGCCAAAGGCTCACTCAGATTCAAGGGAGTACGTCAGAGAGAGCACATTTTGAAAGGAGAATTTTTGTAAAACATTGGTGACCTCTATTTTTAAAAATATTTTATTTATTTATTTATGCATATCAGGACTGGGGTGCAGGCCGGAAGTGAGAGGAATCACCGGAGACAGAGTAGGGAGCAGAACCAGCAGAATGCTGAAATACACTGCTGTGGGGAGCAGTGGATGAGGCAGGAGAGGTCTGCTGCACAGTGAGGGTCACCTCCCTGGCTGGGATCGAACTCATGCCACAGTAGCTGGCGATAGCTTGATCGCCTGAGACTTGACCCCTGCGCCACCAGAGAGGCCCCAGTTTGTGACCACTGTTCATCCATCACAGCCATGCTATGAAGGCGCCTGTATGTCGATGGCTATATCGTGAATTAGAAAGACTCAAACTATACTGCAGGAAGAAGCGCTCTGCCTTCTAAAAACGAGCTGTGCTATACACATCACCTCATATCTTGGGGCTCACTATGGCTTACTCAAGGCAGGTACTTATCAGCTGTTGCTATTTTGAAAGCAAACTCCTGGCCATGTATTTCCTCAGAGGACCTGAAACAGCAACACTGGACTGGGGTGGGGGGGGTGGAGTTGTTGGATACAGATTGTGCGCTAGGCTGATAGCAGTGACATCCAAGCGCTGTCATCTGGTGACTGTCTGTGTTGACCCACGTCGCCTTTCGGAGGCTTGACTTCCTTTTCTTAGTATAGAATAATGTTACTGACTTAGCTGGGTGGCTGTGAACGTTACAACTAACCTGATTAAAGGACTTGGTGGCTGTCCAGAAGGGCCTCCCTGTCTTGTAGGATGGTCCCACAGGGGCTCATGGAAAGCTTGGACTCCTCACCTGTTCTCTACCCTGTTCACCTGCATATGCACAGATAATTGAGGGGGGGGTGGTTTGAAGCCCTTGACCTGTGCAAAGTAGGAAGGCCCCTACTTCGTGTCTCTTCTGGCCTCCTCTCCCCAGAGGGCGTCCCTCCCAAACATGTGGGCCCCACACAGCCGTGGTCTCTGTCTCTGAGTGACAGGTGAGCCCTGTTCAGATATGGCTTTTTCTCTTCTAGATGTATGAGATCAAATCTGAAGGCAGCATTGCAAAGAAGTTCAATGAGTTTCTGCAGAAGCTGAGCTCACCCCTGCAGCCCAGAGTTCCAGAGCACAGCAACAGCAGGATGAAGAACCTCTCCTACCCCTTCTCCAGGGAGAAAATGTACCTGTGAGTACTGTGGCTGGGGGTGGGGCCGCGGGAGAGCCTGGGCTCAGCACCTCAGTGCAAACAGTGAGAGGAAGGAGCAGGCTGTGTTGGTGACAGTCCTGGGCCTTGCTTTCTGAACCCCGTTCCTGCAGTGAGATTATCTGGAATAGTGCCTGGGTCTTCGTCCAGCGGCTTATGGGGAACCTGCCACCTCGGTCATTTGCTTATGGACCCACCGAGAGCCAGGGAGAAGCCAACTGTAAACTTGGGGACTCTGTGGGGAAAATGGTCAGAGACCTGTGTATCTTCAATGGGGACAGTGTTCTGCCCCATTCCCAGCTCAGTAGGGTTCAACACAATGTGTCACACCAGCCAGAGGCGGACAGAGGGCGGACGAAGCTTCTGGGCCTCTGTATTCTCAGCTGCCTGGTCATGTGTTCTTTGCCCCGAGACACCCCGCCTCACACCCACGCGCGGAATGAGAGCTCTTCTCAGAGATGCCATTTTGGAAGCTTTGGAGGGGGACCCAGGGCTGGGCAGTGGAGAGGCAGGAGCTGATCACTGATGCTGTTTTAGGTACTCAGAGGTAACCTGGAGACTGTCAGGAGTGCTTCGAGAACTGCGAGAGTGGGGTGGGGTGGGGGAAGGGACGCAGGAAGCAGAGAGGATGGAGGGGCCTTTGGAGGAGCTCAGCGTCCGGCTCATGCTGTCTGCTGATCGCTGGGGGCTGTCTCCCACCCACCTTCACCTGCGAGGGGGCACGTAATTTTGTGCTCACACAAACGCTGCTCCGTTTGCATGTGTCGCCTCCTTGAATCCTTCCAGCCCTCTCGTGAGGTGCCCATCACATACTGCTGTCCTGTACAGACAGGGAGCCAAGGCCAGCGCCTCCCACGGTCACACAGCCCCAGGGGCCAAGCTGGGACTGGCCTCCCGATCTGCTCTCTGTCTGCACGCCCTTCCGGGGCCGGCCCCAGGCCAGCACTGGCCCTGCAGTGCCAGCTCCCACGCATCTCCGTCCAGCCAGCCTCCAGGCCTGCCAAGGCCACTTCTAAACACCTTCCTGAAGGATCTTTTGTTCTTCCCAACCCAGACATGCTCTGCATGCTCTGAGTTTTCTCAGGACTCGTCATTCTGCATCAGTTATTTGGAACCCCTGCAGCTGCAGGGCAGGAGGGGGCAACTGTGACGGTGTGACCGTGGACCCCAATACCCCAGCATGGCTAACATGCCCGGGGTGGGGGGAGTTGAGTGAAAATCAGTGCATGAGGTTTAGAACAGACACAGACCTTTCATAATACGGAGTTTGGTGTCTAGTTGATAAGACAACAGGGACGGAATTAAATCAAAATTTGAAAAACAAAGCTAAATGCCTAATACCCTGTAATGCTTCAGTGTTTTTTTGATCGTTTTAGCATCATATCCATGCATATGAACCCTTTTTATATACTTTCATTTACAAAACTTGTCACAGAATAACACTTTTGTATCGGTGCACAGCATTTCTCTATTTACAAAATTCTCATAATTAGTTTCGGTGACTGTATCATACGGAATTTGGAGTTGCATTTTATTTCCGTATTTATTGTTGGTAACTTTGCAGTGACTCTTTTCAGTTGTAGAATCCACCCCCACCCGCTGCATGTATTTCCCTGTGCTGCATGTCTGTGATAAGTTTTCAGAACCCTGGGGTCAAAAGCTGTGAGGTGTGTATGTGAGTGCTTCATGCCTCTCGCTGGGGCGTGTGCTCGTGGCTCTCCTGGGGTTGGGTGACAGTGGTCTCGGGACAAGGGTAATGAAATGACTGGGCTTTCTGTCTCCTTGGCCTCTCCAGGTACAACATCCAGGATAAGGACACTTTCTTTGATAACGCCACCCGGAGCCGCATCGTAAGTCGGGTAGGCTCGGGAGGGACTGGGGGCTCAGCCTTTGGGCCGGAGCCCACCATCATTTGCTTGGAGTGGCCTTGCTACTGAGAGGCATGTCCAGAAGCTTCCCAATCTCAGCAGCCAAGAAAATAGACCTAGCAATTGTCCCCACTCCTGGTTGCAACAGGTCTCCCCGAAGTCCTCTCGGAATGACAGAGACAAGGAGTTCAGGGTGGTGAGGGCCAGCTAGTCAGCTGACCTGTCCACTTACAGCCGAGCAAACCGAGCTCCCGAGAGCCATAGGTGGAGACAAATTCACGTAGATGGTTGAGATGCAAACAGGCACACAGAGGGGCCCCGTGAGTCTCCATGCATTTCTGTTCTTTCACCCCCAAAGGAGCCTCATGTCTTCACGTCTCAGGGAGTGACAGAGTTGACAATTTTTGTCTCGGGACCAAATTACCAACTCATTTGATGGAAAGCCAACAGTTACAGCCATGGCTGTCCTTGACTTCTTTTTGCGTTTTGATGTCACATTTCTGAGTTTTGCAGGAGTCATTCTGAGGTGAATCTGATGAGGGCTTGTGCCCCTGTGGCCACAGACATCCCATCCACTCGTCTCCCAGAGGACTTTTGGTTTATGGACGGAGGAGGGAGAGGCTGTAGGGACGTTGGACACCTACACATGCCACAGGGGAAGCACAGCAGTGTGTCCCCCCTGGTCCCCAGGCAGGAGCTGAGGTCTCTATAAGGGATGGGAGGTCGAATCTTACAGGACTTCCAAGTCAGCAGGGTGACAGGAAAGGATAAGGGACAATTGACAAGAAGGAACTTCGGCCCGTTTCAAGGCTCTGTGCTGCCAGATGGATGAGAAAATTTAGGTCCCTTCGCTGGGTGTTTTAGGAGGGCTTAATGCAGGCAAGTGATGACTTTAATCATCCTGTTGAGAAAAGCATCAACTTCGTATTTTCTTGGTTGATGCTGTTACAAGTCATTTATATCTCCCTGTGGTTTGGGTCCCACATCTGTGAGGGAGTTATAGGGTGTTGTGGAGATTACCCGATAATTGCAAAATGCTTGTAAAATAATACAATGCCATATAAATGCTGTTCCTAATTATTATTGCTGCTGAATTACTGTACTGGATTATAAGTGAATTAAACATTCTTGGGCCCCTTTCTGCTGGAAGTTATTTATTTACCACTCCCTCTAGGTCTGAGGCTGGAATATGGGAGTGTGAGTGCTGATGGAGTAACACATCTTCCCTCATTCATCTCTCCTTCCTGAAGCTCCTTCCTCCCCCTCCTGCCATTTCTCAGTCCAGTCCACACTGTGAGAAGGAAAGAGCCTTGGCTTTTGTTTCAGGGGTTAACTCTGCCGTTAAAAAAAAAAAAAAAGATCTTGCCCACAGCTGTGAATATCTCTCCTGTGCTGCCTTCTTTTGGCTTCTGAGCAGCCTAGCTGATTGTTCCAGAGCCGACCTCCTTGCTGGGCATCTCTTTGTAGCCTGGCACAGACTTGGGACCCTCATGAGGGCACGAGTTGGCTTGCACATTCACACTGGGCCACCCATACCCCTGCATCCTGGGCAGAGAGTATGCTCACCCCCCACTAGCCTGCCCTCCACATGAGAGATGGAGTCCCTTGCAAACATCACCCGGCAGAGAGCAGGGGTTTGGAGGCCCGTTAGGGTGCACTGGTCATTGAGCAGGCTGGGCGCTCAGGAGATGCTCCCTGACTGCGGGGCAAAGTCAGAAATAATAGTGCTAATGACCAATTCATAGGCAGCCCTTTCAGGTTTCTAGAATATAGGGTTTTTCAAAGCAGCTCTGGAGATCACTCTAACTGAGAAGAAATGGATCTGAGAGAGCGAGTTGCACAGTCTGCCTCACCTGAGCCAGAGCTAGAACTTGGCTCCTCCGCCACCATGCCCTGTGCTCTCCCCAGGGTGGCAGTGATAAAGCTGGTGAAGGGGTGCCTTCTTCCCCTCTCCCCGGGGCTCCTTCCGGAGCGCTTCCTCCCTCTCCCTCCAGGGGGCGATGTGCGCAGGGGCTCCTTGGTGTGGTTTCCTTCCTCCTGTAACTGCAGTCAGTTTGTGGCCTTTTTTTTTTTCCCCCAGGATGGGGTAAAGGGGGTGGCATGAGTCTGAGGGGGACAAACTCTTCGTTTGCCCAAAGCAGTCAAATCTGAGTGGGTCGGACGCATAGTTCATGAGCGTGGCACATGCTTGGCGGCCCCCCTCCCAACCCGGTCACCACCATGGTCAAGGTGCCCCCAATCCTGCTGTCCTCTCTTTTAGGTGCACGAGATCCTGAAGCGCACGTCCTGTTCTCGAGCCAACAACATGATGGGTAAGGACCGCGCCCCTGTGTGGGCTGAGCGCCAGGGGACCAGAGCTGTTCTCTCAGCTGCTGGCTTGGTGGGCAGTAACCAGGAACAGAACACACCAACACCCCCTGCGGAGAGGCGGAGCAGGCTGCTTTCACTTAGTCTGGGAAAGCCAGCTTGCCCTCCAGGAGCAGAGGGCGCCCCATTTCTCGGCAGGGCTGGGACGGCTCCCGGGCAGCTCTCAAGTCCCCCAGACCTGCCCTCCGGCTGGCTGTGCTCTTCCCCTGCACCACTACACCCTGACAGTTCAGCTGTTCCTCTGCACAATTTCCACAAGTTTTTAATGATCACCTTCACGTAGGGAAGGCTTTTGATGATTTGTTTTTTAAGAAGGAAGATGTCTTAGAGGTGGTTTAGCCCAAGCCCTTTCGTGGAAGGCCCCTGAGAGGGCGCATGACTTGTTCAAGGCCTCTCGTTGTGTGAATGCAGGTCTTGTGAGTTCAGTGTTCTTGGCCCCTTGTCTGGTGGGATGGGTTTGTTCTGTGGTTTGCTTTTGAAGTGGGAGAGTATTTGTCTTTGAAGCAGACGCCTCCGTGTTTGGGAACTGGCTGTATGAGGTAGTCAGGATGCTGAGGGACTGTAGAGGAGACACAGAAGATGCCCCAGGTCAAAATGGGAACTCACACCCACAAACATCATCCCTTCCACATGGCAGGCCCTTGCAGGGGTGCTGCCAGCCCTCTGAATGGCTTTGGAAACCTTTGTGAGAACCACCTTCAGGTCACACGCTAAGGTAACAGATTCTTGGCTTCTAAGGCATCTTGGAGACGAAGGGTCCAGAGCTATTGGGAGGCGAGTCTTGGGAGGAAAGAGCACAGGCAATCACAGCAGTGATGACAGTAATACTAACTGGTACCCTAGAGCTTGCAGTGGGGCGTCTGAGCTGCGCGGTGACAGGGGCAGTACTGAAGGAGGATTCACAGCATGTTCTGTCTGGTGATGGCATTTTCAGAATCACGCAGAAGCTCTCAGGGGGGCCATTCTGTGTGACGTGGCTTTGATGTATTCACCTTGCTGCAAAATTCCAAACACCTTTCTAAGTTTTAAAAAATCAAATTTTATATGTGATGCGACTTGTCTGGAGCATGGTGCTGATGAGGAGATATGAATGGGTCATTCATATTCTAAAACTAGAGTAGAATGCTGAGTCCAGCAGACACAGTGGATGAAGATCCTTGACCTTGGGAGGCTTACTGGCGAGCTCACACTGAAAGTGAGTTTTGAGATAAGGGAATCCACTACTCGCCTGTGTGGCAAGAGCGACTCATGCCAGGAAAGCAAACGCTGGGAGCCACTTGAGAGACTCAGGTGAGAGCTGGCAGGAGCAGATGGAGTACCCACCTTAGGTAACTCAAGGCAGGGAGAAGGTTTGCATAGATGTGGACAGGGAGTTGGGGAATGCAGACATGGTGCAGGAAGCTGGACCAGCTCTAGATCCAGGGGATGGGAGACAGGTTCTGGAGCCTGGAGGGACGGAAGTGGTGTCCGAGGCCAGGCCTGTCCGGGGAGAAGGCCAGGCCTCCTGTGCGCTCTCCTGCCTTCCTCTGAGCCCAGTAGGAAGCGAGACAGCAGGCCAGCCGCTCCTGTTGAGGGACAGGGGGAGAGAGTGTGTCCGGAAGGGTGAAGGGGAGGGTGGCTACCTGGCTCGGCCGCAGAGGAAAGCCAGTCCTGCCTTGGGACCGCTGGTTTGAGAGCCTCGGTCAGGGCAAGAGTTTCTCCAATTTACAAACATGAGACCAAAAAGGAGGGCATGCAGTGTTCTCAGTGTTTCTTCCCAGTGTGAAAATTTCTTAGACTGTGGTTTGAAGGAGCAGAATGGGCTTCTTCCCCTGAAGCAACTCAGCCTAGAGGGGACTGATTACCTGTCCACTCACAGGAGTAGGTCACTCTCTTCTTCTTCATTTTGTATTTTTTTCCTTGAAGTGGAGGTGGGGTGAGAGGGGAGGCATAAGGGGAAATTAGCATCAGAAGGTTCAGTATGGGGAGCTGGCCTGGCCAGGTGTGGGTGGACGGGCATTCGGTGAGGTCTAACGTCAACTTCTTGGGCTTCTTCCAAAGCCTTCAGGAGAGACAGCTCAGTCTTACCGTCTTATTACCCTGGAAAGTGAGGGTGTGAACTGATACACATGGTGTTCAGAGCCTGATTTGTGAGCTGGGGTGCAGCAGGGTGGTGAGCTGGGGTGGTGGAACATGAGTGACACGCGGCCTCTTGTCCAGCACAATGTGAGGTCAGCAGCCAGGGCTCTGCAAGGTTACTGCAAGGTGGAATGACCTGGAAGTGCGCTTTCCCATAGAAAGAAAACCCGAGCCTCTTTGACCATCTCCGGGGAGAATAGACACCTTTCCTTCTCCTTCGTATGGAAGTTATTGTTGCCTTTTCATGGACAGAAAATTGCAGATTGATGGAGCTACGTTTTCATAGACATTTTGGTGTCAGAGCATTTAAACAAATGTATGCGTTGGGCATTTCCCCTCCCCACTTGAGAGACGATGTCTTAATTATTTTGACCAAAGCCAGACTGTGTTGTGTGTTGTAAACATCTGGTTTATCATTCATCCCGCTGAACTGGTTTATATTTTGTTAGAAGAAAAGGCTTGGGATTAAAGGCATTTAAGTAATTAAGCACACGTCAAGACGATTTGGTGATGGGTAAATATAGTCTCTGTTAAATGCACTGTCTGGAGCTCTGGTTTAGATTTACATCCGACTGGAGTACTGGGATGAAAGCAGGACGCGGGGCGAACGGGGCCCTGTTTGGGGGGGGGATCAAAACCAAATGAGTTTCAGGAGTTCAGCACCATTCCTCTAAGTACCTGTCCTGAGGATGAAAGTTCCCCGGGACTGGCTCCGAGGGGACCGAGAAGCAGCCCCTTGCAGCGTCAGGCCCTGGACGACTTGACGAGACTGTCTTTGGGAGGCAGGCCAAGAGCTGTTTCTTGGTGGATCCTTTGTGGCCAGGAAACCAGAGCTGTCTTGGAAGCTGACTGCTGGGCCTCGGGTTTTGTCCAGCATGCATGCGTCTGCAGGTAGCAGACCCGGGACCTGAGCCCATCCTGCTGTCTCCTTGGCGACCCTGTGGAGGTTAAGGACACCGAGTGTGTTGCTGGGCCCGCTGGCGGTGCTGAGAGAGAGGAAGTGCCAGACTTACCTTGGGGACTGTAGTTTTGAACAACAGGTACCTGGTGAAGTGAGGAGACTTTGGGGATTAGCGAGATCCTTCGCCAACTGTGCTTTGAGCTGAGGCCCTGCTTCTTGCTGGGAGGAGAGGAAAAGCCAAAGGTTCTTGGTGCTTTCCCCTTCTCCCTGGCCTCCCTTCTGGGAGAAGGAGGACAACGGTTGGGCCCCTCTCCAGTCTAGAGCAGAGAAGAAAGACTCTAGACATCTAGAGAAGAAAGCTGCACGGTCTCAGCCAGATGGATGGTGCACGATGGAACCAATTAGCTTGCTTTTGCAGAAAAGAAAGGAAAAAATTCAGAATTTCAATTTTCAAAGCAGAGGCTCTTTTAAAAAAAGCGTTTGATTATTTTCTTCTCCTTTCAAACTGATTTCCATGCTTGTTTGGGGGTCGTCTTGGTTTCAGAAGTCTGTGGGTGACCCAAGAGGCCAAAGCAATCCCATTCTTGAGTGAAGCTGTGGATGCCTAGTTACTTTTCAGCTTGCCTCCCCTGCGCCCTGCCCCCCCACTTTTATGCTCTCTCCCCTTTCTCCACCCACCCGCCATTGATTGACATCAGTCATGTGATATCACCTGAAAAATGGAGATACACTACCCTGGGGAACAGAGACACATTCCATTACACTTTCGATGACCATTGAGTGAACCACAACTTCACTCAAGAATGGATTGCTTTGGCCTCTTGGGTCACCCACAGGCTTCTGAAACCAAGACTCCCCCAAACAAGCATGGAAATCAGTTTGAAAGAAGAAGAAAATAATCAAATGCTCTTTTCAAAAGACTCTTTGGAAGCCTCTTTGTCTTGGCCACAAGGCAAAGATCCTTTGTAGGAGTTCCTCTCTTGGGACCGATTGAGTTGAAAGTGTCATCGCCACCATAGCTTGTCTAAGAAGTTGGTGTAGTGAGTTAGATGGGTGCCCAGGATAAAAGGGGAGAGTTACCCGGACACTTTAGGGTATGGGGCTGCTCACTTTAGGCAGCCACCAGCACGTAGGCCTTCCCAGCAGTGAACTAGGTGTTTTGAGAGACTCAGTGAGAGGTGGGAGCTCAGGGGACACACAAGGGTGAGAACGAATAAGGCCCTGGAAGTGAAGGAGCCAGCTGCCTGAGGCTGTGCCAGGCAAAGGGAGCTTCGTTTGAGGTGGGGGGCGTGTGCACACCGGAGGGCTCCAGGGACGGGAGATCTTTCTCGGTCCAGCAGTGGGACCCCTGTGTACAGTAGGTTGTCAGCCTAATCCTCTTGGACCCTCATTGACTTTGATTCTAAGCAAAGCCCAGAGGTAGTAGAAGAG